CCTCATGATCTGAGTACAGCCACCACAAAGCAAGGTGATTTCTTCTTTGACGGGAGCCTGTGTGGCATATGAATGTTGATAGACTGATCAAAGCAAGATCGGCAAGAAAATCTATGTAAGGTACTTTTCACCACTTTGTACTATTAATAATTGTAAAGCCATGTATAGCTCTCTGTTTTAAATGGAAAACAGAAAAATGTTTAATGCTAACTTTGAAAATTCTTGTTTATTTGTTCTGTCAGCAAATAACTAAGTGTAATCCATTTCATTTAAGTCTGTACATGAATTTAAATAATAAATTCATGTACAGTTAGGACAGTTAGGATAATGTTAGGAAAAAAAGATGGAGAATTTAAAAAAAAAATTCTCTAATTTCTTTTAAATTTACTCGAGTAAAAGCTATACTCTATAGTGGTGGAAAGACAAATGCCCAAAGTGATTAATTAGATTAGGCACTGAAATTACCTAATTACCCATCCATCCATCTTCTTCTAGTTACCCAGTTCAGGGTCACTGGGGTGCTGGAAACAATCACAATTGTCATAGGGCAAGAGGCAGGTCATCAGGTATAAAATTATTTTTTTACTTAAAGCTTTGAATTTCTGCGATGTTTTCTCTCTGAGTTAATGAAACAGAAAATGTTTTATGCTCTCTTTGTAAAATACCAACATTTTTAAAGTGAATTTCTGGCTGTGTTACCAAGAGTGAATTAATTTAAGATGCTATTGTTATTTTACAGTGATTGCTGAAAGGACTGTGATTACAGTGAGGCACTGCTTTTCAGTGACTACAAAAGATAATGATGTGAAAAACAAAGTCGTGTTTGAGTTGACCTAAAACTAAATTATTATAAGCAAACTGTTGTTGTGGTATGTAATAAAAAATACTTAAAAATCTAAAAAAAAAACAAAAAACAAAAAAAAAACAGAGAGAGAAAAGTTAAGGTGTTTGATCTAAAAACATTAAAAGGCTGCCTTAAATGTTTACATTTTCATGATTTCTTAATTTCATGACTTTCTTTGAACTTAATGGTTCCTTGTTCTAGGGTTTTAAGATTGGGAACAAAGGGTTCTCTGTACACCATCTTCCTGACAGCGTTTGGGTAATTTCACGTTATACTCTCATTCTGATTAATGGAATGGCATTTATGTAGAGCTTTCAAGTCCTACTGACAACTCAAAGCACTTGTAACCATAAATTCTTATAGTATTGTATACAATTGTGTCCTCTAAAAATTTCAACAGCAGCCACCCTAACATGTTGTCTTTGAACAGTGGGGGGAATAAAAACCACCTGGGCTCACAGACACGTGCAAACCTCACACAGAAAGACCTCAGCTGGGGTTCAAACCAGAAACCTTCTTGCCACCCAAACCTGACCGAACTCATAAAAATGGCAATTATATGAGCTATATGCACTAAAGAGATACGATTGTTACATGTTTTTGTTTCGTACAGGAATGACACCGTAGAGGTCACGAGCTGCAGCGATGAAGATTTGTGTTGTGTGTCCTTGCATGTCGGAATGGTCAAGGTTAGACCAAGATTTGCATAAATACTGAAAATGTAAATATGCTCTGTCAAACTAAAAAGAAATTGACTTATTTGCAATCTTTAACTAAGCAATAATTTTCCCTGATCATGTGTGTGACTTTCCTAAACATAACCATGAAAACACAATGATTTTTAGAGCTGATTTTGTATAATAGACTGATGGGATCTGGGCAGCAAAAACATGCACTTCAACCCATATTTGTTGTTCTACATTACCAGGCTTTGGGTTGTCCTGATGTCATTCCTCATCATGTTTAGGCATGCTCTGATTAGTGTAAAAAATTGATATCTGATAACTGTAAATTGTACTTTCTTAATTTACAACGTGCTTGTTTAGCTGAACATTGTGGTTTGTGTTGTGGTGTACTCATTAGTTTGAGGGTTTGTGCTCCTCTTGATGCCAGCTGTGTTCCCTTCTTTGAACTCCAGCTTCTCTCCTGGTTGTCAAAAGAAGTGATTCACAGCTTCACTGCTTTTTCTGTCTAGATTAGGGCTGTCACAATATCAGATTTTCACTTCATAATTGTTGTGCTAATGTCTGTCTAAAACCTGCAAAAATAGCTCTAATACTTCCAGTCAAATTCATCTTAAACTTCATTTATTTTGTTTTGTCATTTTTTGGCAAATGAATTATACCAAAAATGCAACATTAAACCCAAATCTTCCAAGTTCATAACTATATAAATGCATAAAAACAAAATAATTGTAAAATAATTTATCGTATGATCTGTTTGTCATTTTTAACTGTGCCAATATTTTTACTACATTTTTTAACAGAACGTTTTTTTTAATTTTCAAAATTCTAATTCAGTATAATATAATCATTTTTTTTACATATTATTAAAGTATTATATTTAAAGGGCTTTTTTGTTGTGGTTGTGGTTTTTTTTGTTTGCTTTGCTGGAAAACTGAAACTTGGTCCTAGTTTATGACAAAAATGACATAACATAAGACTAGCGACTGAAGTTCTCAGAGGCACCAAGAATAAATTACAGTGAGCATTATAGCAAAAATATAAACATAAATTCTTATGTTAATTGAAAAGACAAACATTTGGGGGAATAAAAGACATTTAATACAAAGCCATGATTTTTGCAGTGAAATCAAACATTTCTTTTTGGACTTTCAATATCATCTGCCTCCAGAAAAGCAGCACTTATGGTCACTGACAGAGCATAAGGATACATGTGTGTGCTGATGTCTCTGCTTCAGGATGAGTGGCAGAGTGCCCTTTGATATGTAATATTTTAAAATGATGACATGTAACATTTTAAAATGAGAACACATGGCAAGCATTAACTCAGCTAATACAACTGCACAAACAGGATTGAGTGCCTCGAGGACTTTACCGTGTGGCTAAAAAAACACTATACAAAAAGCTGAAAAACAATATTAAGTCAGTGGGGAGAAATTGACTCAAAATGACAGAGGGACAGTGTGAATCTGCACTCTGTTGTAGGACCTAATAAAGTGAGATTAAGTGAAATATAATAAATTAAATTTAAATATGTAGTTAAAACCATAGCTTGGATAAAAGCAGTTTATTGCACAGGTGAAGGACTCCATCTATGCTGGCACTACAGCAGAGTTTGGCTGCAAGTAAAATAACACTGGTGCTGTATTAGGTTCATTATTCCTGCAAGAATCCTCAGTTCAGTCTTTTACCTGCTGAGAGGTATTTGGAGTTTTAAAGGAAAGGTTAAGTGTCAATTTAATTTAATGTAAATTGGAATTAAATAATCTTACCCAGTTTGAATGTCGATATATAGTTCAATTACATTTTATTTTTACCAGCTGACTCTAACAGTTGTCTCCAGTCTCCAGACTGTACGATGGATATCCTACAATATTAGAGAGAAAATCCCAACAACCAGACTAGCTTGATGTGAAAGTGTGGTGCGAGAATAATTCCTCTTTTAGAGCAAACGGCCTCTCACAGAACCAGGAGAGGCATCTGCTACGACTGGTTACGCATGGAGAGGAAAAGAGAAGACAGAACAGCAAACAGAACAAAACACAAATTAGAGAAAGTATGCGAATGTTAATGACAAATAATTAGGTGTCATCTGTAAAAATCCTCAAAACAATATCTGCGTTTAAATAAAGCAACTCGTGCAACATCAGCTGTACTTCAGTCCTCAGTGAATTAAACACCTTTGTTTTAATAGTAATTTTCCTTTAAAATGGTGTCAGAAAGATGATTGATTGATCGGTGGATTGATCGATCAATCAATCAAGAGCGATCGATTGATCGCTGAGTCTGCAATCAGTCGTGTTCATGAAAAAACACCACAGACACTCACCTCTGGATACAGACAGCATACAGCGTGACGGTCAGACAGCAGGTCTGCAGGGCTCTGATGAAAACTGAATTCATAAGAAAGAAATAATGTACTTAAGGACTGGTTCATCTGCTCTAACTTAATGTGTCATCGTTGCTGTGCTAGCATTTATATTACAACAGAACCTGCATGCAGCAGAAGTCTTTACCCCTAGTTTGCCATGGAGACTACTTTTTCCAATGCATTTTAAACAACAGCTTATAACAATATTTATCTTTTACTGTAAACAGTTAAAGAGGTGGGTAACACCCTTTCATTAGGAACACTTAATAAAGCAAATTGGAAATTTCACATACAAATGCGCAAACCCTTTAATAAAGGGTACAACACAAAACACACAAAAAGTGTGTGAATTTTTCTTTTTAATAAATATGACCTAACAGCAATCACAAGCAGTCTTTTCTGTGTGGATTTCAAAGTTTTAATAGCTTTTAGAACGCCATTGCTGTACACAAACACAAACTTTCAGAAGCTTGTAGAAGCTAAACTACTCATGAATACACTTTTATTCATGTAAGATTTAACAGTTGATATAAAAGTGTCAGTTTACACGTGATTGTTTTTTCCAATACAAATGAGCAACCAGCTAAAGGAAAAACCAGCGCAGTATTTTTCTACTCCTCAGCACAGATAGTCCACATCTGCTGAAATTTGCTCTGAAGCGACAGGCAACATTCTTTCAGAAGATGGAAACAGAACTCCGAGCTCACCGCCACATGTGTGAGAGCTGCTCTGGTTACTGTAAAGGTGAGAACATGTGACCAACTGTTTCATTTTCATCAAGGAAAGAGTCGTGAATGATACCTACACCTAAAGACGATCGCTCAGAATCATAGACTCAAACCAAACCAGCACACCAGAACCAGCAGAGCCTGCCAGACTTCATCTGTGAGCATACTGGAGTGTCCGGGTCACTTAATTTTGTTGCCTCCAGCTGAAAAATGTGAAAAGAGCAATAGCCAGCGCAACACAGCTGTTATCATTATTTTTATCATTATCATTATTATTATCAATAATAATAATAATAATAATAATAATAATAATAATAATAATAATAATAATAATAATAATAATAATAATAATAATAATAATAACATATTTGTATAGCCTTTCTGAAGAACCCCGAGGACGATTTACACAAGAGTAGGAAAAAAAAGAAAAGAAAAAGAAAGAAGGCTAAAGGTTGCGGGTTTTGTTGAAGAGGTGAGTTTTGAGAAGTCCATTTTGATATGGAATTATGACTTTAAAGACAGTGGATGTCCCACACGTGTTTGAAAAGAGAAAGGTGAACCCGATTTTAGAGCTTGATTGTTTTTCCACTTGTATCAAAAAATTAAGTTGCTATTGCGAAAGCGTGGAGGCCCGGACTCCATTCGTTTATCTGGCCACTTTTATTTCTATGAAGATATATTTAATGAATCATTGTATTTAGCTGTGTGTTTACTGCATCAGTTTATTGATGCAATCACATTGCCCTCTATTTCATAATCACATTGACCTTTATGTCGTATGTGGCATTTCTGACCTTGATGCTGTGTTTATCAGCAGCTGCATTTGCTCATGTTTGCTCATTCTAAACGACATGAGGAGCTCAATGTGAGCTGAGCCCTGTAACTGGGGGAAATAATCGAGAGGAGGCCATAAAGAGCGCAAATGTTAAGGCACTGTAAAAAAAAAAATAAAATAATAATAATAATTTTTTCTACAATGTATATGGAGAGAGAGAGAGCGAGAGAGAGAGAGAGAGACAGACTTCAACACTCTGCAGATAGCGTTCATACCTTCTCTTTGCTCGGTGTCTCTTTGCTCCTCTGTTTCAGCTTACACTGACACTTTGATCCAGATCTGCTGAGCGGGCCAAACGTTTCTGGACTGTTGTTGTTGTTGTTGGTTTGTCAATGATAATAAACGTACCAAGTTTTAAAAAAAAATGAAGGAAATAGCTGCAGTTGTTTGTTGGCGGTTGTTTTCTCCACGGTTTCCATTTAAAATGATCGACCTGACCTCTCTAACCTGTCCTGTTCTGGGGTTTTTTAACTAATTGCCCAAAAGATGTTTTAAACAAACCCCAAATCGTCAGCGGGACATAAAAGAGCCACAGTTCAGGTGTGATAACAATAAAATCATCTTTCATTTCATTTACTTTCACATAAAGGCTTTTATATGTGGAGGCCTGCAGCAGCTTTTCGCCCTGACGTTTTGGAAGCTAAAAACAAAAAACCCCAGAACGTTCGTTTTCTTCGCGCTATATTTCACAGCCTGTTTACAAGCTCTTAAGTCTGTGGTTCTGCCGCCGAGCGCAGAATGAAAGCGCACACTGTTTAAATGAGCGCACATTTATCTGTCCTTTATACGTTTCTCTTATTTTTGCCAAAGACAAAAGAACAATAATAATAATGATAGAATTACAACATTTAATATCCAAATATCACATATAGAGAACATCACGATATATTCACACATGTCAGTCAGTTCAGAGGGCGTCTCATCCCTGTGTGTGGAACATTACAAAAGCAGCTTAAATTAAATTTAAATAATGAACACAGTCAATAATAAAATGTAGATATATATACAACTGTGCAACATGGCAACACCACACCACCACAATGTCTCGGGGTCCACATCGATTTCCACGGGACAAGCCGATGAGGCCGTGTTAGGTCCGCTCTGTTATCAGCTGTCCGAGTCCACCTCGCTCTTACTCTCTTCGGGTTTCTCCGCGGACGTTTTAGTGGATTTGTTCCATTTCTGAGAGTTCTCTGATTCTTCCGATGAAGACCTTTTCTGCCTCCTCCACTTCGCACGTCTGTTTTTGAACCACACCTGCGTGACAGAGAGAGAGAGCACACTTTGAACGTGTCTGTGTGGCGACTGATGCTGAGCACGGCCACAGCTCAGCCACACCTGGCAGTGTCTCCGGCCCCTTATTCAATGGATTATTATAACTATCACGATGGTGATGATGATTATTATTGTTTTGTTGTTGTTGTTGTTGTTTTTGCTTTGAATCAGTGTTACTTGCTGCACATTGTAGATAAGCATCGACTTTGTTTTCAGAATCAGGGCAGAAGATAAACTGTTGCAAACAGAAACATTTAATAAAATTGAATTAAATTACATTTCTGTTCAATATTATACAACCTCTAACATAGTGATTTTTGTGAATTTTGTTGAAGCAACAAAATAATAATAATAATAATAATAATAATAATAATAATAATAATAATAATAATAATAAAGGTGAGCAAACTTTAATTATTATTATTATTCAATAAGAATAATAACATTGTGAGCGCGTGTCAGCCGGGTTTTAGAACTCACTGCACGTGAGTGTGTTTATGAGTGGAGTGAAAGCTTTGAAAGAAGATAGCTTTTAAAAATAAAAGCGCTGACCTCGACCTTCTCCTCGCGGAGGTGGACCTTGCGGGCAAGTTGTTCGCGAGTGCCGACGTCCGGATACTTAGTTTCTTGGAAGAGGCCCTCCAGAGCCTCGAGCTGCTCGTCCGTGAAGATGGTGCGGTGCCTTCGCTTCCTGCGGCAGTGCAGCTGGTTGAGGAGCTGCAGCTCGGTCCGAGACAGGCTGCTCATGTTCATGTAGGACATCATCTGGTGGGGCACCGGAGAGATCAGCACCGAGCCCGGGCTGTCATAGCCTGCATGACGGACAGACAGCACACATCATGGCTGGGTGGAAATCCTATATATACACACTCAATTATTTGGCGTATTAAAAACACTCCGTTTTTTTTTACTACAAAACAAAACAAAACAAATAAAATAAATAAAAAATAAAATACATTAAATAAACTGTGGAAGAGGCTGTTTTATGCATGACAGAATGTGTGGAAACACCAAAACAGATCCCAGCGATGGAAAAGCTCAGCTCCAGTCTTTCCTGTATTCAAAGTTAAGCTCGCGCACGTGCCTGAGCGCTTCTGCTTCCTGTGTATGAATCCAGAACAGCTCGGTGATATTAGTCCTGATTGCGAAACAGCAGCGATGTCACACAAAAAGACTTCACACGTGAACATTTGCGAGTTTTTACAAAGCTTTGAAATGCAGCATGGAGTCTGAAATAATTTTACAAACGCGTATTTCAGGCGTGTTTACACTGAATCTTAATTGTAAGATAGTGCTCGCAAGCGATGAAATATTACGCATGATTGTAATTAATTTGTATTAATAACGAATAATTACTTCACGGTGGAATTACGCGCGTTGACCTAGAGGCTGATGGGCCCTCTGGCCTGGAAGCTACTTCGCTCCACAGATGCTTTCTCTGAGAAATACAGAGTGTGAGGGAAAAAAAAGTTCCCGTGGCGGATCCTTCACTGCGTAGGTCTTAGCTGAGTCTGTGACACTCTGTGACTGGCCGTGTTACCTGTGGGGATGCAGGGGCACTGCTGCGGGCTGAGGCCGGGCACGGAGCCGCAGCACGGGGGCCCTGCCGCGGCGCCCTGGACGTGCAGCTGGCTGTAGTAGTAGCCGTTATATCCGATCCTGCTCCCGCTCACGGGCTGCACCGGGGGGGCCACGGGCCCGCACGTGGCTGAATACAGTCCGTTGTAGTCGGTGTAGAGAGAGTCCGTCAGGCCGGCGGACAGCACCACCGGGCCGCTCCGGTGCAGCAGCAGCGGCTCCTTACAGCTCGGCCGCGCGGACAGGATGCTGTCGATGCTGAACATCCCGGCGGGCATCACACCGGTGTGCGGCGGGAACTCTCCGAAAAGTGGGAACCAGCTGTGAGCGTCCTGGACTGACGGGATTCCGTGCTCCGGGAGAACGTAAGCTACAACTGCGTCATCGCGGCTCCGGGACTCGTGTGTGCTCTCTCTCTCTGCTGGAGAATACGGACAGGAGGTTTGGGGGAACCGCCTGAGTCCGGGGCTGTTCTTATACACTGCTGACGTCACAGCAACAAGTCTCCTTGCGCTCGTCTTGCTGCTTGAACGCGCCACGGAGCTGTGTATTGAATTAATTCAATTAAGATAATCCAGAGTGTTTGCAGACTTTTAGAAACGTGTCACTGGGCCGCGGGGGCTCTTCCTACAGAGTAATCCGATTATCGCGGTGTCAGCGAGACTTTGTGCAGGACATCACAGCAGCGTTTACAGGCTCCTTCAACGTGCCCCTCAGCACAGGTCAAAGTCCTCATAAAACCAGTGCACCGGTCTCCGTGAGCTGTGCCCATCACTCTGGACACTCTGACATCATTACTGACTCAAAGCAAGAAAGGCGCTAAAGCTCGAGCAGTGAGCAGATATGACGGTTATTTTGTTGCTCATTAATATCTATCACTAATGGCCCATTTAGGACTACTTAACAACAAAGAAACCATTAGATTAACAATCTGTGCGCATGAGTGCGGTGAAAGTGTGACCGGGGCTTTACCTGTTACCTCCTCTGCTTTCTTGCATGACTAAATGAAAATGTCACCCTGAAACACGCTGTATTAAAGCTGGGGGTCATCTCATTATCCACCCTCGCTGTTCCGTGGGGAGGAAGTCAGCGCTTTCCTCCATAGTTGTCTTTCTTTCCCCCTGACCGGGCGAAGGTAACGGCCCATTATCGCTTCCATTCAGTGAAGGAAAGGGGAACTTATTAAGTATTTACATGGCTAATCAACATAGACTTAGCGGTCGGGAAACGGGCGCTGGCTGCTGCAGAGGAACGTGGATTCCAGCTCAGACCTTAATGGGACGATGATTGCATTTAACACTCTGCAGGATGTTCGCACATGCTGCTGTCAGGCGGCCAGACAAGCCTGAGCTGTGAAGATACGGAGGTGATTAGCACTGTGTGGCCGCACAGTTTACACACAAGCTCTGTTCTATGTTTACACTCCTCTTACCTGCAGACCATCCATCAAATTGTTTTTACAGCATTTTAAAAATGTGGATGAAATACCCCTGTACACGTCAGCCTGTTTCGGAAAACGAAGACACTGCACCTTTTTTTTTTTTTAAAGAAACGTTTATTTTTAACATTTTTGCAATTGTTTGAAATATCGGGTGAAATAAAAAAAAATCTTTCTTTCTTTTTTTCTTTTCTTTTCTTAATTTTAGAGCAATTGAATTTAAGACGATTGATTTATTATCTCTAACCTTCTACTACGAAATTTCCCTGAAAGAGATATTCCGTTGAAACCTCTGTACAGTAACACTGGGATAAGCACGATGGCTTTTCTGTAAGGTAAAAACAAGTCGTGTGAAGTGTAGAAAAAGGCAAATAAAATGCGTTGGTCCTTCAGCGTCATTTTAGACACTGTTTGTGATCACAGATGCATTTTCCTTTCTTTTGTCACGTTGCGTTTGGGCGCTTTTCCGGGGCCGTGTGTGTCTCTCTCTTCTTTGCTTTGACAGTTTTGCAAAAATCGTGAAAGCTAAGCGCGCTGCTGCCAGCCCTCAGTAGGCTCGTGCCGGCGAGGCTAGGCTGACTCCTGCCGTTCAGCCGCAGCCTGACCTTTAAACTACAACCTGCTGCTCTGAGGACGCTGTTTTACAGATAAGTGCACGGCAGCACTCTGAGCCAACAACCCCAAAACGGCATCTTATGTTATAAAAAAATGCGCCTTTTATCCAGAATGAAGCTCTTTCAAAGCTTTTGCTTCCGTTTCATCCCGCTGCAGCATGCGTGCATGGGAAATTCGAAGTATGACACTTGATCTGAAATCTATCAGCCATGTAACCAAAACAAAGCGAACCTTAGATAGGAGCCGATGTGGACACGGGGATGTTCACAGGACAAAGACTAAACTTACTCTGTTCTTTATCATGCGTACACGAGCAGTGTGCAGTGTCAGGCCTCTGGTATGACTATGGTTAACAGTATAAGAAGCAAAAGATGATTTTGTTTTTCGTTTTTAAAAAATACATAAAATGCATTACTTATCTACATTCCAGATGAAAAAAATTCAAGTGGATATTGATTGATTTGATTGTGACACATTTTGATTGTGTGTGTAGTGGGAAATCAGTGTGACTTTTTTGGTCTGGAAACACGCTCCCGCGGCTGAAAGCCTTTTCTGTAATACAGTCACACTTTGATTCTAGCTCAGAGGAGACCGGGAGAGAGAGCAAAACAGGACCATGTGCTGTTATTATTTTCACATTTCTTTCTATATTTCTACTTCCAAGTGGCAGTGAAAGCAACGAGTCAAAAGGGATTGCCACAAAACGAAATGTCCATTTGAAATTAAAAGCCGTTGAAAAGCACCGTGAAGGCAGCACTTACAGGTGAATAGAAGCGTCAATCAGGCTGCAGATGGAAGCTGAAGAAGACTCACAAAGCTGCAATAGCAGATGCATCTTTTATATATCAGAGCCCTGATCTTTAAAACCTGCTTAAACAGGGTAAATAAAAACAGACAAACTTGTTAATGCTTCCCTCCAAGAGGTGATAAATATATGGTAAGGCTGAATAATTACATTATCAGGTAGGTAGGTAGGTAGATAGGTAGATAGGATAGACAGGATAGACAGGATAGATAGATAGATTAGATAGATAGATTAGATAGATAGATTAGATAGATAGATAGATAGATAGATATATAGATAGATAGATAGATGTAGATAGATAGATAGATAGATAGATAGATAGATAGATAGATAGATAGATAGATAGATAGATAGATAGATAGATAGATCCAGGAAGTTTGGAGGATGGGTCAGCTTCAGCCGTTTATTGCATTCCTCAAACTGTCCATGTGTTGTTTTTGTCCTGGTTAAGGAAACCACTTGGTCAGCAACAATTTGTGTGGTTTCAAACAGCGTTTTTGGGTGTGGTGTGTGTTAAAGTAGCCACATGAAGGTAAGAAACCCACTGTAGTGTAATAACAAGGTCATCAGTGTTCAGTTCTTGTGGCATATCAGTGTATATTACTGTCATTGCACTGTATATACTGTTACTCTACCATAACTGTATAAATCATAAAATGAAAAAATACTGTAAACAGCATTGCATAAGTGATGTGAATTCAAAGGAAAATGCATAAACAAACCTAAAAAACACACAGTACCAGCGTTGCCAAAAAATATTCAGGACAATTAATGAGGGAATGTGTGTGTGTGTGTGTGTGTGTGTGTGTGTGTGTGTGTGTGTGTGTGTGTTGAATCTGGTTGCATTTTATTTGAAAGGAAACTGAAAAACTTGATTAACAGACCTTCAAATTCATCAACTCACAGACTCAACCACACTAACACACACACACACACACACACACACACACACACACACACACACACACACACACACACACACACACACACACACACACACACACATCCATAGTTACATATGTACATGTCAGATCTGTCATGTAGAGTCTGGTTCCTTTTGTTGGATCAGGGATCCACTATGGAACCCATGTGTTTCTAAGAACCACTTGCTAGGTTCAAGGAGGCAGCCCACCCTTCCTCCGTTCATCATTCCCACCACCACCCGATGCAAACCATCTTTTGCTCAAAGCAAACCACAAAGTGCCCGTAACCTGACCACAAATTTAATATCTGCCTCACACATGAAAGGACGCGAATCACAAAATGTCATTTTGTTCAGCACTCATTTTCTTCGCACATGAGCTTCAAGTAAGTTGCACACACAATAATCCTTTCAAAAAAAGCCGGCCTACTAGAAAAAAAAAAGTGATGAATGATGCTTCCCGACAATCCAGTCTCCAGACAAATCTGTAATTCACTTTTTGCTTTGTGTTGCATAAATTGAAATCATGTAAAATTTTTTGTCAAACAACGTCACAAATATGAGTTGAAACCATTAAATGGATCCCAACAACCCTGCAGTGCAGAGAGTGCAGTGCATGCAGAGTTTTATACAAAACTGCTCAGACAAAATACCATGTCATTTACATCCCAGCCAAATCCATCCATTCATCCGTCCACTTATCCCAGCTGTCACTGGGCAAAGAGCAGCGGGATGCACAGTGAACAGATCAGCTGTCATTGCAAGGCTAACAGACCATCATTTAGTCTCACATTAATAATTATGCACAACTACCAGTTAACCTAACCATGTGTGATACACACACGTATAAAAAGTGTGATGAGTACATAATTCAATCTAAAAAAACCCCAAAATGATTCATAGATAAATATGATGGAAATTTTAATACAGTGCATGATAACGATTAAAAATACAGCCAGGGTTAAGTCCATCTGCATGGGTTTTAAAATGCCTGACTGTGGTGACTCCTAGTGGTAGTGTGACAGTATGATGACTTAGATTTGTAAAAGCAGAGTTAGCCCTTCATTATTCAGCCTGGGGCTTATGGTGTAATTTCTAAACATTTATGTCATGTTTCTGAATGCATGGTGTTATTTTCAGTGCGGAGTAAATAGATTCAAAAAGTTTTTAAAGGAAAGGAGAGTAAGCAGTGAGTATCTTTGGAGTATTTTAAAAGCATATAGACATAAATTTCATTGTAATTAGTTATTTTAAGTAGTAACAAATACCTTCAAGATCTTTTATAGGAAAAACAATAATATTTTCCTTTCTTAAATTATAATGAAACAGGAGTGGGCTGTATCTCCCCTTCCTAGACTGTAATTACTCATCACTCTTGTAGGCTATATCACAGAGTAGCCCAACCTCCCTAATTACACTGTAGTTAAACATTAAACACTATTTGGGGTGCAGACAGTAACACACTTGAGTTGTGTGGTGGCAAGCTTGCAAAAGGAGGTGCTTTGCTGTCACATTCACAGGCCTGATCACAGCTGTTTTATGAAGTGTTAGCATAACTTATAAATATCTGGACAGACTCTGGCCTTTACCACTTGAATGTACAAATTTGGTAGCATCTGCCAGATGCTGCCATTCAGGAAAGCTACTCTCAATTG